GTGAGTGAGTGAGTGTGTGGCAGAGGAGATGAGGAAGCGACACGACTTGCTAAAATACAGAGACAGACCAGCAAAATGTTAGGAGTAGCCAAGGAAAAACATTTTGTCGCGCTTTTCCGATTTTTTGTATAAAATGGTCGCATTCTGGAGCCCTGAGGCTACATTGAAGCAGGGATAGGATGTGGCAGCTACAAACCTGCTTGCATGTTCCTCCATCTCATCTTTAATTTTTTGTAGAAAGTTGATGGTGTGTTTTATAAGTCGAATAAGGTTGTTACATACAATAGCTTTTACAATGAATTTTTAAAAAAGTTTTTTAATCACAGTTCCCAACTGTACACGGTTTCTTTCAAGCGTAATTTGTATTTTAATTACAGTCTGAGGCTCTCAGGAAGTCTTTTACCTGCCAAGATAAAACCTAGTTTTGTTTTGTATTCATTTAGTTTTTTTTTAAAATAAAATGCGTAAACTGTTTCTTATTGAGAGATCCCCCACCTCAATGTTGAAGATGAGAGAATCTAACTGTTCATGTTTGTGTGCCCCTTAGCTTTAGTGGATATCACCTGCACATTGTTGCTGCTTAACCCGGATTTCACCACTGCATGGAATGTCAGGTACAGATACACTAGCCAGCTACAACACAACTACAAAAATATCCGTTCTTTATTAACTACCCTCGAAAGTGAACAATGAAACAACAACAGACAAAATACTCATACTGTTCTCAGCCCAACATACCACAGTGGCCATGCTGTGGTGAAGGGCTACAGTCTGAATGGCCTGTGAAAATCCACACAGTATGCTATCTGCACACGTATGCTATCTGCACACAGCGTGGGATACACAGCGTGGTTTGGTGTGTCTATCTGCTGAAAACTGTATGCTTTTAATGGCAATATCGCAGGTGTCTTTCTACCAGTAGAGGATGATAAATGGTCTGTATTTATGTAGCACTTTTTTAGTCTAGATGAGCACTTAACAGTACAGTTTGCCAGAACAGTTTATTGCCATTCACCCATTCACACACAGTGCATTTTGCTCCATTTTACCATCAGCCCTTGAGGGAATAATCAGCTGGAAATCCTCATTATTGTTTGTGGCAGAAGCAATGTAGGGAAGATCATGGGTGTGGAGCATTTCAAGGCAAAGATAAAAAACCTTGAGTCCCTCCAGTCCAGAGATGCTGATCAATTTGTTTGTCATTGCCCATAGACGCGGTGGTGCTACTGAGCTGGGACAGTTAAATAGACAGGAAAATTTGAGAATAGTGTGATTAAACACATTTGTTAGGGATTTTAGTGGATACAGTGGAGTTTTTACATAAAGATGGACGTAGCGTCTGTGACATTATCCATCACCGTCTTGCCAGTGCTTGACCCATCCTAACTCCCAGTTAAAAATGGGCAAAGAGATGGATCGTGACTAGAGTTGAGGTGGACCGAATTAAGACTGACAAACTCACCTAGCCTGACCCTGGCTGCTTGGCTCAGGCTAAGGAGTCATGCTAAGAAGCTAAGCTAAATACTTCTGTGTGTTGCTAATCAGCTAGCGCTGTGATCTTGTTGCTTGGTGATAGTAGCAGTGGTCCCAGCGAATGTAACTTTAATATATTTATAACAAAACCTGTTATGTTAAGATTATACTAGGGTTGTTCGGTATACCGGTACTAAATTGGTACCGGGTACTGATGCATTTAAAATGGTACTATACAGCGCTTGGATCAGACCGGTACTTTTTTCTTTTCTTTTTTCAACGTCGCCATGACGTCACCGCGTTGTAATTTGAGCGGGCGGGCGGGCGGGCGAGCGAGCAAGCAGCGCGTTGCTGTTAACGAAGCAGGAGTCTGGCAACAGAGAGAGAGATAAAGGAGAGAAAGAGAGAGAGATAGGAGCAGAGAGAGAATGGCAGCTGTCGCAACCATCACCACGCCGCAACTTGTAGATAAACCAGGTGCGCGAAGTGCTACATGGAATTTCGACTTGAAAACAAATGAGCACGATGAAGCCATTAACACCGATGTGTGGCCAAGGGTGGAAACACTTCCAACTTGACAAACCACTTGAAGGAAAGCACCCAGACCTGTACAAGGAGTTCAGAGAACGACAGGTAATAACTTATATACCCATGGAAAAAAAGCCACGTTCAGTGCTAAAAGCAAGTGACGCCAGCCCCCCTTCACTCTCCACAAAAGTAGAGCTGGAAAAAATTTAAGCCTGTCTTTGTGGTATTTTATTTTAATTACTGATGCATAATGTTATAGTCCTAAGATTTTCTATTAAAATAAAGTCAATAATGACATTTTTTGTGTTCTCTTTTTATTTGGAAAAGTACAGAAAAGTACCGAAATACATGTTGGTACCGGTGACAACACTAGATTATACTGCTGTTGTACATGTAGATGTCACCGGGGTCTTGCAAACACAGCCAGATCCAAACGATTCGCTTTCCAGCATCTTTATTTGCAGAATGGCAAACATAAACTCAACACTCAACTTAAAGTGTCCAACACATAACCTTTTCAGGTTTCTCTACTTGGCTCAGCTCTGTCTGTGTGCTCTCCAGTCCTCTGTGTGTGTCTCTTCTCCTGCTTTTCTCCTCTGGCACCGCTGCTGCCTTTTGAAACAGAGGATCAATCAGCTATCAGCCCTCAGCTGCATTCATTTATCCTCTGTTGCAGGTGCTCTCTGAGCCACCTCCATGCCCACAACTACACATGATTAAAATGTGATGAGTTGTTTTTAATATTTAATCGTGTTTATTGGCTTGGAGCTGAAGTTCTTATTTGCAGCTTCGGTTTCAGCAGTTGTCAGGGAAACTCTAAGGGAAAATGTCTTGCACTGCTGAGAAAACAATTGTCTGTTGTTTGTTTTTACAATTGTAAAAAGGTGTTAAGGGCTGGAACGAACAATAATATTTTATTCATTTATTTTGCGATACCTTTTTGAAATTAGGTAAATAATCGCACACACTCCGCACAAGCTTTCACCCAAGGTGCACGAGATGAGATCGAGTTCTCGCAAGTTCTTTCTCACACGTAGTAACTCATCTTTTACTCTTTAGTCTGTTTATTGTATGCAAGAGTGACTTTTGTGTGTGCACATGCATCTCTGTTACCGCCATTGATGGAAGTTTTGGGAAACGGCGGTATACAATGCTTATACAAGCCACTCAACACCACCAGCTACTACTGCCATGGCCCTGCCTGACATCCACTCTTGTTATTACAATTAGTCATAATTCTATGACATTAATATTAACTTGTTTATTATTGTAGCATTGTTATATATTACCACCACTGCTAACCACTGCTACTGTAATCATTGTCTTTCATTGTAATTGTCCAATATGTTTCTGATGCGTTGTTCTGTACACGTTACTAGTGATAGACGGATATGTTTTTTTCAGGGCCGATACCGATTATKAGTAGTCAAGGAGGCCGATAACCGATATTTGGAGCCGATATTCATTTGCAGCAAAAGTGAAAATATTGGCGTCAAATTTTGAATAATACAAACTGCAACACTTAAATTTGTTTAAATGCCTTTAAGCATTAAACAGATTTTCAGATAACAGAACATGTTAAAGGTTTTTTGTCATAGAATTTTAAAACAAAGATGTCTATTGTCTAACAAAAAATGCAGGGAGTTCGAAGGCTCAGCAGCATGTCTAATAAAGTGAAATGAAAACTTAAACAAATAAATAGCTCCCTGAAGTTTTCAACTGTAAATAAAGTTTACAGTTCAAAGAAAAACAAAAAGTGCAGGGAGCTCCAAGGCTCAGCAGCAACTCTCTCTCTCTCTCACTCACTCGCTCACTCACTCACACTAGGGCTGTCAACGAATATTCTAAATTCGAATATATATTCGAATATTAAAATGAAACGGAGATTCGATTGAGAAAATTAATATTCGACTGTGGAAAAGCGGCTGCTTTGCGGGTGGGCGCACTGCATGACGAGACAGGCCATAGGAGCTCACTGCTGAAAGTGAGACGCGACCACGGTTGCCAGGTGGGTGGATACAAATTAGGGCTGGTTTCGGATCGGTTCGGAGGGGTTTTGTAGCCGAAACACAGGCACTTCAGATCCTTCTCCCTGCAACCCGCTGTTCAGCAGGCAGCAGTCTCACTCACTCACTCACTCACTCACATACACACACACTACAGCTCTGGCTGACGTGCCCCCTAAACTCGCAACATACACTCCCGCTACCTTCAGCTTACGTCAGCCACAGAGACCCGTTATTACCGGACTGGATGTCTAACCCACACACATACAGATGTGTACAAAATAATAGCAGTGTGTTTAAAAAAGTGAGTAAAGCTCAAAATCCTTATAATAGCTTTTATTTCCATACATGCAAATACATTGGGAACACTGCACATTCTATTCCAAATCAAAACATGAAGAAAATTGTTTAAAATGTGTTATTACTTTACAGAAATGAAAGAAAAAGGAATATTAGCTTGTTCAAAAAAATAGCAGTGTCTGTATTTTTCTTTACAAACTCAAACATTTACTGTATAAACTGAAAAATGCTTGAAGATTTAGCTTCCCTGTGAATAACTGAACTAATATTTATTTGTATAACCACTGTTTCTGAGAACTGTGTTGCATGGAGTCGACCAACTTCTGGCACCTGTGAACAGGTATTGTAGCCCAGGACGATTGACTACATTCCACAATTCCTCTGCATTTCTTGGTTTAGCCTCATAAACAACATTTTTGATGTCAGCCCACAAGTTTTCTATTGGATTAAGGTCTGTGGATTGGGCTGGCCACTCCATAACGTTAATCTTGTTGGTCTGGAACCAAGATGCTGCTCACTTACTGGAGTGTTTGGGGTCTAACCCTTGTTGAAACACCCATTTCAAGGGCATCTCCTCTGCGGCTTAAGGCAACATGACCTCTCAAATATTTTGATCTATTCAAACTGATCCATGATCCTTGGTATGTGATAAATAGGCCGACACCATAGTATGAGAAACATCTCCATATCATGATGCTTGCGCCACCATGATTCACTGTCTTCACAGTGTACTGTGGCTTGAATTCAGTGTTTGGGGGTCATCTGACAATCTGTCTGTGGCCCCTAGACCCAAAAAGAACAATTTTGATTTCATCAGTCCACAAAATGTTGCGCCATTTCCCTTTAGGCCAGTCACTGTGTTCTTTGAAAAATTGTAACCTCTTCAGCACATGTAGTTTTTTCAACAATGTGACTTTGCGGGGGCTTCTTGCTGATAGCTTGACTTCACATAGGCATCTTATTGTTACAGTACTCACAGGTAACTTTAGACCTTCTCTGATCATCCTGGAGCCGATCATTGGCTGAGTCTTCGCCATTTTGGCTATTCTTCGATCCATTCGAATGGTAGTTTTCCATTTTCTGCCACGTCTTTCTGGTTTTGTTTACCAATTTAAAGCATTTGAGATCATTTCAGCTGAGCAGCCTATCATTTTCTGCACTTTTTCATACTTTTTAATCAAAGTACACTGTTCTTCTGAACAATGTCTGGAACGACCCATTTTAATCAAATTTTCAGAAAGAAATGCTCCATACCTAGCATGTACAACATTTGCTACCTGTTTGACGCCTGTTTTTTCACAGGATGA